TTTGTTAAATTAGCGGAACTTTATTGCTCATTGCATTAATATCGAAAAAATTCCTCAGTTATCAGAAGAAAAGCACGTTTGCTGTTTAATGATCGTCTCGAAAATCAGGTCAGTTGCAAATTCTCACTTCTCATCATTTGTCATTTTGACAAACATACATCGCCTGAGACACAAATCACATTTGTTCTCGTCTATTTAGGTCGAATTAGTTATGTCTTCATTACGGAAGTGTTGTTCAGTATAGCGAATCGAAAGCAACAAATCATTTGCTGCCACCACGGACCCATTCGCTGTCCCATATCAATTGTTTGTCGCGGGTGCTGATATTTTGCTAAATTTGCGAAACTTCGTCTCTCAGTATAATTGCGCCACGTGCACCCGCGCTTTATCTCGTCGTCTGGCAAACAACCCGTGTGTTCCCGGTGTCGACTTTCTGTCGCGGGGTCGCGAAAAATCGCGAACGTGTCCGGCGATGCCGCGAAGTTTGTTAGGGAAATATTTGTTTTCACGAAGTAATACTCTGCGAGAGAGCGGGTGAGGCGGCGGCAAATGCGCGTAAACAAGAGCCATCGAAATTGTGCCAAAGCTATTCATACCTGTCCACCTATATTTACCCGGGCTGGCGGAAACGGCTCACGTCGGGCCGCCTAATTAAATAACGCTCGATAATTCATTGTATCGGGCGCGTCTCGGTCGTAACGTCGCGTGCGCGCTGATATTAATTTCGCCTCCCGGCTTCGGGCCGTTCGCGACAACTTGATTACCGGCGTCGTGCTAGGATCAATCGCAACACCATTATTTACGTTGTCAAATTTCCAATGGGACACGATCCTGTGGGTACCTCGGATCGTGCACAAGCTGAGCAACTGAAATAAATTCCAACTCTCGTGCATGATGCGTCGCTGCATCGACCATGCATCCTTACTTTACGTGCGTTCTCCGTGTGTACACTGAGAAAAAGGTCTTGTAATAATTAATGCATTTAATTGAGAATTTCAAGGCAATATTTGGTAATTAGTATCAGATATGGTAATAGTTACTAATCGTTTGGTAATAATTGCGAAATAATTAGTAAAATAAATTCTTCATTTAGTTGAACCAATTAAATGATTTGGTAAATGATGGCAAGTAATTTGGTAATAGTTATTAACACTAGACTTACGGGACAATTTGACGGGTGTCCGGAGAAATAAGGTATACGACATAGAAAATTTCAAAATTAAAAGTCTGAGAAGTAAATGAATAATTTGCATATATATTCGTATCATTCTATTAATAAAATAAATTCTATCAACAAAAATTGCTAGAAAATAATAATAGTTTCTGTAATTTTGCTCGTGAAATCCGAAATCCGTCAAATTGACGGGTCCCGTAATCTAGTGTTAAATAGTTTGACTGTTACTTAAGCATTTGGTTATTTCGTATATATACTATAATAAAAAATTGGCACCTGGTAACTGTTATTCAAGCTTGATAGTTATTATCAAACTTTCTTTTCAGTGTATTCGGACGCATGTTGTGGAATCTTAACGTGTTGTATTTGCCGGAATATAAATCGCTGGCTGGCTCCTATTTTTGTTGTCGAGTACAGTCGTGGACAGGAAAGTTGTCTATATTTTTCGGGCTGAGTTTGCAAACTCTCCGTCTTATCCAATGAGAACATTTATTTTTTAACAAGAGAAAGCTCCCATTGGGCAAGACGAGTTTACAAATTCACCCGAAAAGTTACGGTCTGCTTTTTTGTGCTCACGAGTATACGCGCGCATCTTGTTTGCAACGAGCGGTGTGTTGTTTCGAGTTGCTATCGAGAAGCTAAATATTACATCACAGTCATGGCGAGCGTTGAGATCCCAATTCTCTAAAAGCTTTTTTAAACTTTCAACGGGCGGATTTAACCGACCGTCCGGAAGGATCTCATTCTCATAGCGTAATGCATCGTCAGTATGGATAATACGAGTTCTTCCACGCGCTGCGGCCGAAGAAGTACCACGCTCTTTTTTCCCCTCGAGCTGTTTGCACGCAACCTCACAATGCGATTACTGGGGCTCGAAAAAATCTCGGTTGCGTGTCTCAGAGTACACAGTAGTATAAATCTTCTTGTTAAGGATCGACAGGGTCGGCATATTTCTTCTTTTGCTTTACCCTTGTTCTAAACTACAAATTTTATGCCAAATAATTGCACTTTTTTATATTATTCCAACGTGATTCCAACGAGATTTGATTCTTTAAGTGGTATGCTCAGAAAAATTCCGTGCACTCAGGAAAAGATGCTTGAAAATTTTACTCGTGGTGTGTGTAAATTTTATTCACAGAAAAAAATAAAATTTATTTCCCAGAAATAAATTATACTTCACAGAAAAAAACGTTATATCTCACAAATAAATTTCCAAGTATTTTTTCTCAATATAGTAAAGTTTCTTTTGATTTTCTTAAACTATTTTTTTTAACTCGTTACAAGTACAAATTAAGATAGAATGCTTGGACGCTAATAACACTGATACTTAACTCTAGACTCTATCCTTTGATCTTTAAACACATATATTTAAACTTTCAACGTATATGTATATACATATATTATTCTATGTTATTCTATATTGAAAGTTTTTAAATATTCGTGTTTAAAGATCAAAACAATAAGAATGTAGGTAAGTGCCCATAGTTGGGTGCCAATGTTATTAGTGTTTAGGTACTTTCACCTTAGATATATCTCGTATTCTATTTTCCGAAATCTACAAAAAAATAATAATAAAGAGAAAAGAAATTTAGAAATACTTATTAAAAGCAAGACTCATTCTGGGGAAAGAATCGCGCGGTCATTTGAAGTCACTACTGACGAGATTAAACGTAAGAAACTTATCAGTTAGAAAACTTGGGCTTTCTCGGGAATTGTCGTGCTCGCGACAAATGGAATCCATTGTTGCGAGGAAGAAAGGGGTAAAGCAGGAATAAGACACAAAGAACATATCTGCGAACACGAGAGAAAGGGAGAGCGCGACAATTTGTCCCCGCACGGCGATTGAGAGACACTGTTGCGGAGCATGCCGCCAGTAACGAGCGAACTCGCTAAGCCGCGATGGTAATCGAATTAAAACGTCGGATGTAATTAGCGCGCGAAGAGGCACTGCGCCTCCTGTACACGCGCGAGTGCCTCCTGTACACACGCATATGTGACTTCTCTCGAATTGACCGAATCGTTCCGCCGTGCAACTGCATTTCCGTCGATTCACGCGCGCGGGCGTTGATCGCCACGCGTAACACAAAGCTGCACGTGTGCATCCACCGCCGAATGCTGCAATGCGACAGTGAAGTCGATATTTTTCTCGCGATAAATTCGATCTCGCTTGGCCCAAGCGTTGTTCTCACGCGGGCGCTTCATTAACGCACGACTCACGCATGTTTTTTTCTGTTTCTCTTTCAATTTAGCGACCCTTGTCGCTAAATTGTGTTCGTCCATGAGTGAAATTTCTCCATGGCGACACGGATTGAGGATTCGATTCCGTGCGCGAACTATTCCGTAATTATTTTTTAGAGGAGATGAGTAACGTTGCGTTGATGAACAATTTTTATTTATTACACGGAGAAGGAATCTCAATTCGTACAACAGAATGGGGAGAAAACTCGCGAAGGAGTAACGATATCTTTGTTGGCGTGACCGAAAACGTTTGTCTGAACATGAGGCTGCCTCAGGCGAATGAATGACAAACTTCAAAAATGTCGATAACGTGGCGACAATCGTCGAATGTCGCGTCAGAAGTACTGACACAATTGCGTTACCTTCTTCCCCTGTATTTCTTTCATATATATAGATCTTGTATGTGTGCTGTTTTGCTTTGCCATATTTAGCTAGAAACATGGTGACGCATATATGTGTGTGTGTGTGTGTGCGTGTGTGTATAGAAATCTTTCTGCAAGTTTTACGTATATATTTTTGAAGTTCTGAATTCAGTTGCGAAGGTGTAGTGATGTTCTTTGGAATTTCTCTGAGCACAGCCAACACACGCTCGATATGCACGAGCTGCAGAACTTTTGCATCGGGCGAATATTTACTCCAACTGACAGCTCGAAATGTCAATTTCCAAATCTTTTGTCGTTTCCATCCATATTGAGCAATGCTCCAATTCATTTCTGCATTGTATTTCCACTACGTTAAAATATCTTATGCAACCAGCACGACGTAAAGTTCGCAAGAAAAGAAGTCAGTAGTTTGTCGGTGATGCTCCCAGGCATGGCATCCCCTTAAAATTCGGTTCAGATAACTGAGAGCACAATTGACTGAACAAAAACCTTGGAACAGGAATCTCCAGGTCTGTTCGTTTCCGAAGAACTGTCGAACTAGCGTAATAAGTCGAAGTAAAACAAGTACACTCTTTTTCATTCTAACTTATTGCACTAGTGTGCGCTAGTTTAGAAGTTGTTCGAAAACGAGTGGACTGTTCCTTTCTTTCTCCCTCTCTCTCTCTTGCTACGGCCAAATTTTCATCTGTCCTCCAGGCGACAGAAGATGCAGTTACACGCGAGCCGTTCTCTCCACGAATGATTTTCTGCAAAAACGTAAAATTATCGAGTGCCCCGATAAAAAGCAGTCGATCAGACGAGATCTCATTACACGAGCAAAACAGCGCAATAAATAAACGCTCCGTTTAACGTTATCCCGGTGTGTGCGCCAAACTGTGAACACGCACTACTACTTGATGAATCGCATGTTGCCCGTACCTTGCAGATTAAAACCTCGAGCACGCGAGGTCGCTCATTAAATTCCGCGGGAGGTTAAAACACCTTAAGTACTCCGCGGGAAGCTGTTTCTGCTGCTCATAGAGCGCGGGATCGCCTTCCCCCTCCTCAACGCACGACTAAACATACCCCCGCTCTCGACCACGCACGCCGTAGCACTCCCTGTTTTATTTTAACCTCACGATTTAATTTATTTTTTCAAGCTCCTGGCGCACGTAGATTGCATGCGTTCTCATCACCTTTGTTTTGGATTGTTTGTTGCACCTCAGGTCCAGGCGAATGTCCCAGGATGTCACGACGTCAAGATCCACGGACAATCTCACATCGTCGTATTACAGGTACGCATAACACGCACACATACACGATCGTCCGACCGCGCTCGCTTTGTGCCGCGCCACTTCTTGTGTTATTTTTTTCTCTCACTCGTTCATCTATCTCAAACGTATACAGCACGAGCTAAGTGTTTTAACAAGTAGTTGCGATATGCTCGCGATGTTGTCGACGGTCACGTTGTAGTTCGATCACGTTTAAGTAGAGAATACGCAGAAACGCACGCGATAAGTACGTCATTGATAACGCACGCGAAGATACCTCACGAAATCTTTATCATTTTTCGCCGTAAGTCCTTCTCGCCGTCGACGGTAAGTGCTCGGCGATAAGAAGGCGATTGCTGGAAAGACTCATGTGGAGAAGATAACATACTATGTTGTATACTGTATTGTTTGCTACAATTGACATATGACATTTGAATGAGTACGATGTATTATAACGTACTATATCTCCGCACATATCTCCAATTAACTCCTTGTTAAGGCTTGTGGTTTTCGATGTTTTCCTCTAGTTGATTCCTAAAAATTCGTTTATCTCGTGACAGAGTCGTGCAGCTGTAATAATGTTTACTATAAAATCTCAGTATCCAATTAACCCAACATAATATTTTTAAAACAGAAACTAATTAATTATTTTAATTATTTTAATAATTTATAGTAGTAATTAAAAATATTAAGTAGTAATATAAAATTAAATTAATTTTCTTTCTCCAAAATCCAAATTTTTTTTGCATTCGTTTTTATATATTATTTACTTTTTTTGTTTAGTTGTACACGAAGAGAATATTATAGTTTTTTTCATATAAATTCTTTTTAATTCTACTATGTTTTTAGCAGTCCGGAGATAAACCGTCGATAAAGTTCATCTTGCCATTATGAATAATTAATTTTGTTAGAAACATAGCAAATTTCAGTTTCTAAAATGTACGTAGCACATATAAAATAAGAAGATAATAAATTACTAAAACGTCGATCTATTTCTTGATTAAAAAATTGTGTAATAATTAAAAAAAATTAAAATAAATATTAAAATTCTTTCCGTGTACATGTAAAAGTCTTTTTGTATCAAAAAGTTTCTCCCGTTTACAACAACAATATGATATTTACATCAAGTGCAATATTAATGTATAAAAAAATAGGATCGGTTGGCACAAAACATGTCGTTGAGATTCACGAGCGTTGTGGCACCGTGAAAGCAGTCGAAACGTTTCCGCCATGAAAAATTTCCACCAGCGTTCGGAATCGGTCCTTTCCGTCGGAGGAAATGGTGCGACGACAGTCGTGCTGAGAATACACCACCAGATCGCTCGCTGGTCGTGTCGCGGTCGCCGTTATTATCACCGTCGCGGACGTAAACGCGTGCAGCTTCGTGTTCATTCACCGGCTCTCTCATTCATGCGTTCTCCACTTTTCCGTTTCCTTTTTGTTTTTCCTTTTTGTTTTACGACGCGTTGCGCACCGTTGCGTTATTCAGGCCCGTTCGCGGAAATTTCAAACCGAGTTTTATCTACGACGGCCACGCGCGCACCGTTCGTAGACCGTCACCGTCGACACCACCACCACCTCCAGCACTCGACTTACGAAGGTAAACCCGGCGGCACGGTGCATGGCATGGCTCGTTGCATCGTGAAATTGCGTTTTGTTATGGCTCGACGAAATTGCCTCTACACCTAAGCGTTTACAAATAGCGCCGCGGTGTACTATTAACATCCAGCCACGTGTCCCGCAAATACGTTCCGCGAGAATAAGGCCGACTTCGGCTTGTGTATTTCTCGGGCTCGCCGAGCTTTATTTCCAAGCGCGTGTATCCGCGTGCGACTCGATTTTCAGCGGGATAAACTGCAAATAGAAACGCGTTACCGGCTAACCACCTCGCGATGCGAGATATCCCGAGTATTTGTCGCTCCTCGTTGCGAATTTTTTCTAGATTTTTCTTTTTTTCTTTTTTTTTACTGTATACTATCGGGTTATTCTGAATCCTTTAAGAAACACGCGGGCGCGAATTTAACGAGCGAGGAAATGCTCGATTTTTTAGAAGCTGTATGTCGACCTGTTCCCCACCCTATTTCCCAATCCGCTTGGTCCAATCGGATTTGTTGCGCAACGAGCGACGTTAATTGACCATCACGTTTATTCCATTGCAGGAGCAAGAGCCGTAGTGTGGACCACGGATTTACGGCGCCTTTCGATTTGGATTCCTTGCGGAACAAGGTCGAAGGACGCTTCGAATCGGTGGACAAGCTGTCAAAAGGTGAGCGTACATTATTTATTCATTTAGTCAATTAAGACGGTTGAACGAGAACATTCGCTTTCTTTTATTCAAAAGTTTCCAGAGTGCGTATATATCTTGTAAGCCACGATAGAATCGATCGTTACAAAAACAACATGGGTCAGTCATTTTATAAATAAGATCGAAATGTCGAAATCGTACAAATGTCCGCGAACACGTACCCAATTATGTTTTTGTTATTTTGGTCTTGAATATTTTATAAATTCTTAACGTAGAATATATACACATATTCTGTATTGAAAATTTAAATATTCGTATTTAAATCCAAAACAGTAAAAATGTTCAGGATTGAGTACATATCTGAGAATTGATTTTAACTTTAATTAGCCATGATACTTAATTATTTTTCACTCAAGTCGGCATAGTATCTTATTAAATTTGAAAATATATAATAAACAAAAAAAAAAGAAATAAGAGAAAAGGAAAAGTAAAAAGGAAAAATTTGGAAAAGTCTAAACGCATAGAAAATTATAGTTTCTTTTTATATGTAAATTCCTTTAATTTTTATTATATTTTTAGTAGTTTAGGAATAGATTGTCAGTAAGATCTATCTTGCTAAGAAATATAATAAATTTCGCTACTACACTCAAAAAATGTTTTGCTGGTCCGGGTAGAATTCTGAAAGTCAGTTACAGTTAAAATCTGTGGCTGCTTTTTGTATCAACTAGAAAATTGTCTGTGGTACGAATTTACAGCAACGGCATTCTACACTGGAAAAAATAGTTGAGAATTTATTTGTCAGATATATAGTTTGTTTCTGTGAAATAAAGTTTATTTCTGTGAATAAATTGTGAATATTCCATAAATAATTTTTCTAGTATTTTTTTCTTAGTATAAAAATGTCTGTCAGTAAATTAATGAAGGTGTGAGAGGATTATACATTTGTTTGTCTCTCATGGCTGGTTTTTTTGTCTACCATAGTCACTTTTATAAGATGTGTGATTTTAACCTGAATAGAGGAAGAGAGACTTTATTACTAAATTTTACAAATATTTCAGGTAGAAATTTTGTTATTTAAATACACAATATATGTGATAGTGTGTTTGAAAATCATTTATTCATCTCAGCTGTTTTCTCGTATTTAGACAATTTTCGCTACGATTGCGGGACTATTTTATTTTGAATGTAGAAACATAGCAGAGCTCGCTGGAAACATACTAAGTATGTCCTAATGACATGTTTCAGTTTCTGAAATACACGTAACACATATAAAATGAAAGGATAGCGAATTACTGCAGAGTGTCGTTCTGTTTCTTAGCCACAAGGTCCTGTAGTAATTTTCACTGTAAAATTCTCTGTGTGGAGCGTACTTCATCCACGATGATTCTCGTTACAAAGTAAATCCTTCGGGAGAACGCTTCTCGCTTCTGAGAAATATTACCTTGTGACACATGTTTTTCCCGCAATTCTCGATTCAGTCCGGTCGTCATAATATTCATATTACGATGATTTCGCGACTTTTCCCGTGGAAGTTCTTCCGGGCAATGTTTTCCATGACGGCTTGGCTGGTCCGAGAATCTGTGGTGACCGTGACGACTACACGTGATCCGGACCGACCGGACTGTGGAAGGTCCTCAGGATTCCCGGGTATATTTCAACCGGCCGCGCGCAACCTTACTCGGGCGAATTACATTGACTTACTTTCTCGAACTGGCACAAGTGCCACGTGTGATCGATCGGTCGGTCGGTCGCTCGCTCGCTCGCTCGCTCGCGCACTTCGAATCGACGCGTTACCAATACGCCACGCGCAGCGCCGGCGGGCTTAATGAAGACTAATTGACGCGCGGTATTAAGGGTAAAGTGGTAGCGGTAATTAATGAAGCGGCATCCCCCGATCCGGAATGCGAGATCCGGCTGCGGCGAGATCGGCGCGGATTACGAGCAGGTGGCGAAACAACGTCGCGCGCGCCTTGCCGTCGGCCTGCACGGCCGCAAACGGTTTTTAGTCGGGACGAATAATTCAGTTGCGATGCATAATTTATAGATTCGCTTTGTGCGTGAGGTACGGGATTAATCCTTCAGATGGATCCGGTGGATACTGTTTGTCTAGCACGGCATTCTGTTTCCTACGCAGAAAAGGAGAACACTCTTGTGTGGGAAATATTTTTGTTTTTGACATGTCAATCTTTAAATAGGATGAAGCGTCAAAATAAGGTGACTCACTCGCAAGAATACATTTTATATGATTTTTAACGAGAAAGAAGACCTGTTATGTCTTATTATTAAAAAATTATTTTCATTAACGGAAAGCACAGAATATTGGATTGAGAATGTGATGTTTTCAAGTGTTCTCCAAGAGAGAATTTTCCCCTATCCACTTAAAACTGCTATACTCAAATTAACAATTATTGTTTCATATGTAAGTAACGACATATAATTTTGTTGAAAGAATTTTAAAGTCTTGAATTTCAATAATGTTACAGTCTCATTTTAATATATAATAAAATTTTGAATAATTATTATATTATATTAATTTTTAATGATTATTATGATAATTTTATAAGAAATACAATATAATTATTTAGATAGTAATGATTTCCTCTCCAGACCATTGATATCATATTCTCAATATTTTGTTTCAATATTTTCTCAATATTTTCATTTATAATAATTTATTATAATTATTTTAACACAGGTTTTTCTTCGTTGAATCATACAAAATATATTCTTTCAAGTAACTTGTATTCGTTTGGCACTATGTAAACTCATTTGAAGATTAATATATTAGATATAAAGATATTTAAAACCAGAATGATCTTTTTTGTGTTTTTCTTTTTTGCCACGTGCACGTGCGCGGTCAACGTTAGGTAATTACCGCGCGAACGAGAGATAGGAAGAGAGAGATATCCGTCATGGTGATTAAATTAGCGCGTCGAACAATCGGGTCGTTATTAATTTAATTTTGATAGTGAGAACGTAGATATATCGCTTTATTTCATCGCTTTTGCATCGAGGAAAATATAATTTCATTTTTAGTGGGATACTTTTAAATATGGTCTCATAAGAATGTCTCTAAAACCAAAAGGAAAATATTCCAAGCACACATAGAGACAAAAATTTGATTGCACTAATTTGAAGCTCGGTTTCAATGAACGAACCAACGTGTTGTAGTAAAACAAGAATTTCTGTTTTTATGAACAGAATTAAATTTCGAGTGAAATTTAAAAAAATTTAGAGAGTACTAATAACATGCTTATATTAATATAATATAATGCAATATGGTTCGAATAAGAAAATATACTTTTTTTTTAAACTTTAACTCATTATGTTTATTCAAACAGAAGAATTTAAAATTAAATATATATTATTTAAATAATATATTATTTAATTGTTATTATTATTTTATTTAATTATATTATTTAAATATATATTATTTAAATAATTTATATAATTTAAATTTAAATAAATACGTTATCAGCACCTACCGAATAAATATATGTTTTGGTTTTTAGATATTTTCTGTCTAAGTGTAACCTTGCAATTAAAATTATTCTATTTTAGGCGTTGGAATAAATCTTTTTTTCTTTTGCTTATAGAGGAATCCTCTTGAGGTCATATGTAGGGAATTATTCCGCTGTGGATGAGATTGATATTTTAAGTGTGCATTACTACGAAGCCCTTGTATGTGGCGACGAGCAAAAAGCGTAGATGCAAGACGCATTTGCATAAGATACATATGTTCGCGAAATTGTCCCTTCAAAATACATTAGCCCTATATGAATGCAGGACCTTCTCCGGGCACGTCCGCATTTGCATACGTTGCATCACAGCGCGGCTCTCTTATCAGTTCGCGAGCGGATTTGAAGCGATAGATCGTCTTGGCCCGTTCCATTCTGAATGACAAAATTGCCGCGAAAATTTAGATTCCGTCCCGGCGGAGTCGCGCGAGCGGTTTATTAAATCCGCTTCGAGCACGCGAGCAACCTAGATACCAGCGCTAACATTTAAATCATTCGCCGGGGCGCATACGTGCACGCGGGGCCTTAATGGCCGTGCCCAGCCGAGGGTCTGCCAAGGGACAATTGTTTCCAACTATCGCCAGAAATTTATCTCATTACCTCGCGCCAGCAGCCGCTCGCGGAATTGTACGTCTGAGAAGTAATCCGCCGCCCAATCTAGCCTCTCGCGCTGCTCGAAGTTAATAGCGCTCGCAGCAACGTATTATTAATTAAACGGATCGGGCGGGATCGTAGCTTTTTTCTTTTTGTTTTTTATTCGGCGGCTTATCCTCCTCGCTCTCCGCCATCGTCGCGAGCGTGATTTATTTGCCGGAATTGGAAGCTCACCCGATCGCGACGGGGTCGAGCGAGAATCCTATCGCGCGGATGTTTTGCTTCTCGCCGATAATTTAATCTCGTTAGTGTTTCGACGTTATTATCGGCTACATGGTCTTAATTCCCGGCTCGTTCTCGGGGATGATCACATCGGCTGAAATCGTCTCTCGGCGGCGAGAGAAGTCCGGAGGAAAAGCGGGAGTGTGCCCGTGCGCGATGCAAACTGTCGATTGCATCGACGTTTTTATTGAGGCTCACACACACACACACTCTCCGCCTCTCTTTCTTGTCGGTGTGTGCACACATGCGACTGTTTACATTGTAACGACACTGGTTGCGCTTGCTGTGCAAACATTTATTTGCGATTATAACGTGCACGGATATCAGCGCGCTTCTGCGATCTATAGAGGCTATGCAAGTTTCTCGGAAGCGATGTGGCCAGAACGAAGAAACAAGCTGGCGTTAGCGAGCTTTCCCGTCGTGATTTATAAATTCCGTTTGGTCCCGATCTTCTCTGTTTAAGTATCCCGCCCACTATGTTCCTCTTTATGACGCGTATCGTTTCGATCATTCGCACCTCGATCGTGAGTTCTGTTTTATGAGCGGGCGAATTCTAGACACATGTCTGAAATCCACGTGTCCGAGGACTGATGATATCGAAAATAGCGATGATACGATTAATAGTCG